CGGAACACTGTTCCGAACCAGAAAACTGTACACACTTTAGCAACTTTTGATACTTATAAAGCTCACATCAGACCTTTTCTGAAGTAGGTATTGTTTTCATGTATGGAGCTTCGCCCCTAAGCATACCCTGAAGCTGTTGGATTCCAGAAAAGAGCCATTCGCCTGATTGGAGACGCAAACGTCACTCGCTACCTTGATGGACTGAAACATCTAAAAAAGGTTGAAGATTTGTCTCTCTTCTATAGTTACATTCACGAAAAGTATTCAAGTGACTTGGGCACATTCCACCAAGAACGGTACATATCAGAAATACGCGACGGACTGTGGCTGATTTTCGTTTTGAGGTTCAACTCAGTACACCTCGAACTTCAATGTTTAACAACTCTTCCATTTGGAGAACTGCGTTTATGTGAAATGAACTTCCTGAGAACGTTTTACCAAATGGATTTAATCTCCAGCGATTCAAATCCAATATGAATCATTACTTCCGCACAGAAACCGCTCTAAGAGCGACTTAAGGATTTTACTGTAGTGCTTGTGTTTTGTTTTTAAAAAATATAATACATAATCTTATACAGAATTTTGTTTCATATATTTTTTATCTGACCCTTTTTTCATTTCTTTGAAACCATTGAAAATGATATGGAATCATTACTTGGACCGAGGAAGTTATTCTTGAACCAAATCTAGGAATATACCGATCAAATCTCAACTGATCAATGATATCAAACAAAAGCACAGACTTTCAAGCAAAGAAAAATTTTCAAGAGATTTTTCCGAAAATTCATTTCGAAATTTTCAACAATATTAATTGCTTGAATGTTGATGGTTACAAGCTGTCTGAATTCCTTGGGACGGCTATGCCTTACTGAAAAGGAAACCCATTTGTATGATGCATGCATCTTCTTCGTATACTTGTAATATCTGTTGAATGTTTTGCATATTCACACTACTGTACATTATTTTTAAATGCGAATCTTTTTATGAGGGCCCATTATTTGCCTCACATAAGCCCGAATTTTTATTGCTCGAATTTGAAATTTAAATTTGTCTCGAGATTTTTGTCGGAACTCCCAGGTACCAGACTGAAATTTTAAAATGCACATTTGCAAAAAGATGATTTCTATATACGTATAGATGTGATTAAATTAACACAACAAATTTTGCAACTTGAAATTTTTATTACTTCCTTTTTTAGAAATATCATCAAGTGTAGTTTTGAATGTTTTCCTCTTTGGAATATTTGCAAATCTTCATAACAAACTAACTATAATATAAAATTACAGTCCAGTCCCCGAGATGAGGTTAAAACGAGAAAACTAATTTCATTTGAAAACAAGTATCAGTAAAATGTCAAATGATAACCCCGGCTTTTGTTTTATTAAAATCACACTATTTTTCGTATTCAAAAAATTTCAAACTAGTTTGATATGAAACCTATGGATTTTCCTCTTTTCTTCATAACACTGTACTCAATTCTTCGCCCCACATGGGTGAAGTATATTTAACGTATTTTATAAATTAGTCAAATACACTTACTCAGTTAATTACAATACAAATAATCATTTTTTAATGTCCAGATATCACCAAAATGATATTCCAAAACACAATCATAATTTAAATTCAGTGAAATATTTCCAATTACTTTTATTCGTGAAATTTGTATTTCATAGAGAATCATACATATATAATCGTAATGTAAAAACTATACCACCAAATGGTACACATGTATATTCACAGAACTATCCTTCAGAAACATTGTCAATACATTCAATGTCGTCAGTTGAGTAATTTTCAGTGTACTTCTTGAAATCACTTTCTACGTAATGTTGTTCCGCATAATTCCTGTTCTAATCAATGATAAACACAACATTTTTCATTGAAATATACAATAAATAAATAACTTCTTTTTGAATCTTGTAGAATATGCTGTACCGTTTCTTTACTTTTTTTGATGTAACTAATCATTCCTTCTAGGAGGCAAGGGTGCAGATAGGTTCTTGATTTTTTATGGAAATTCATTTAAAAATTTTCATTCGGTAGGTATCTACAGAAGTTTCTGGAAATACTGTACCCCTTTTTAACACTTGTTACCGTTACTTAGTTACACCGGGATAAGAGATAATAACGAAATCAATATTGGGATAATAAATAATCAAATTGGGTTCGAACTGTCACTATGAAAAGAAATCAGAGTGTCGAAGCTTTAAAATTTACAACTATTTCCAATGGTTGCTTCAGTAGAAAAAGTAGCAAAATACCGAAAGACTCTCTCAAAAATGTTTCCTCCACACATAGAATCGGTATAGGATCAAGTTCTGGTAATGCTGTCACCTGTTACATCCGTCCCTTCAAGCATATACACAGGGGGCCCACCGGTTCTGAGTATGATATGATATATCTCTGTCTGCCTCACTTCTCACTCTACTTTAGTCACTTTGAAAAACAAGTGAATGTTTGAACAAAAGAAGATTATTTGTTGACGTCATTTTGTATCCAAATGATAAATATAGACATTGAACAGGTGTCAGCATTCTGATTATGCTTTATTTGGAGTACTGCTCAGCAGAATCCGAGAACTGTGGAAATAGAAGACAAAAACTTATATAATTGGTATATTACAATCTACAAGTCAACATTATCAAAAAGGATTTCTTTGTATTAGATTGTGTTTAGAATGTTACAGTGCAAGCGTTTACTTCTGATGACATTCAAATTCAAAAAATACCTCTCGTCACATATCGCATTCTACAATATCTTCGACCAGTCTTCCAGTCTCAGGAAGTAGTAGGTAGGTACATTCAACCCTCCACTACAACATATTGTGCCTCATATCGGTTCAAATTCGACACAATGGATACAACTTTTCAATAAAGCCGATTACTTTATTCGGTAAATGATTTTACAAGTCAGCTGACAGGAGTATGACTGTGCGAAACGCTAAAAATTTGATTCTCAATCTAGTGAGGATCTGATCAGCCATCAGTTTGCAACTACCTTCATCAGATGGGTAGGCAACACAAATGTGTGACTAGAGAAGTGGGTCTTCTGTCATGCATTTCAGAAAGACGACCTTCTGTGGCTGCGATGGACTGAGGTACTGCAAGGTACTGCACCCACCAGCCAGAATACAAATATCGGGATAGAGGCTGATTCAAAATTTCGTAGAGGTTAATTATAAGCCACTCTTGACAGTCAGCAGGATTATTTCACAGTCAGTCCACAAAGAAATAGCATGAAAGTTGTAGTTGCTGACATACCCAGTAGCAACTTTCAGATTGATTTCTGTAAATTAAGAGACTTGCATAAAATATTAATTCTGTTCCCAAAAATTTGCGAACGAATAGCTCTCATATTCTGCTATTTTCTCTCAGAAAATACTGTACCCTAAGCATACGCAATGAAAGAAGGAAGACTTCTACATTTTTCGACCAAGATTGCTGCCGTATACCGTAAGCTGGTATAATCTTGAGATTCGAGAGTAGGATAGGTAACATTCCATCAATGATTCCAAAAATCGCAACAACCATTTTAATGGGGGATAATGTGTGCAGAATTCGAAAAAAGATATTTCATCCGTCTTCCTTTTTTGGAAGAATTTCGCCTCACCCGGGTTGAAAACTTCACGACGAATTTCGTCTCACTTTGATGGTTGATGAGACTACATCAGGGGGTTGATAGCATGTATCAGTCTGAAGGTAAGGGATGGAAGGGGTGAATAGTTCCAATATCCCCAGGAGCGTAGGGCAACACCGGTGTCTCGTCAGTTCCGTAAAAGTGCCGTAGGTGGTAATAAAGCACTCTCAGGGACGCGTTATGTCGATAGATATAAGGTGAGACCGCATATGATAGACATGCTGACAGCAAGTGCATTGGGGTATCAGATGCCTCGTGGTAGGCACTGTACCTTGTGTCTTTCCGACATCACGCTACTGCGGTAGGGTAAGTTGTTGGAGACACCATCCTTGCAGCCATGATGAACCTCTCAGTTTCTGACTTCACACCACTCGACCTAAGGAAAGCGAAAGTCAGGCGCTCAAATGAGCCAAGGTCTTTGATGTGTTTAAAGAAGACCCTATGCATTGGCTTATCCTTGTATTGCCGCAGGAATGAAGTGATCTCTGCGGCTTTTATATGGGCCTTTTGCCAAACGCGTTTCAACTCGGTAACAGAGTTGTGATCACCTCGTTCAGTGTCGAAAGCTAAACCAAGTTCACCAGCTGCCCTGCAGCCCTGAAGAGAAATGCTCCAATTCCCGCTTTCTCATGGTCGCGCACCTTGCAGAGGAGAGGATCCGAACTCCTGACGACTTTACAAGCTCCATCCAGTACCATTCTGTCATGTAGATACTCCAAACTCAAAAGCCCACGGCATCCTTATTGTCGCGAGAAGTACATACATGAAACGGACGATTTGGGATGCAAATTCCTATGGAGGTACATCATTTTTAGGGTCATTTCGTCGAGCTCCTCCCAAGTCCACTTCACTAATCCAAACGAGTATAGTAAGATTGGATCGGCAAGCATATTCGTTGAAGCAACTTCCCCGACAGTTCCGATGACAAGATCTGTCAAAATTTGTGCTGATACCTGCCGCGGAGAGAGTTCTTCACTGCTGTTATTTTTTGTGAATGGCTTTATTCCATCCCGAAGTAAGTATATGTTTCTTCAGCATCCAGATTGTGCAGGATGCTTCCATCAACTAGATGCACATCCTCTTCGTAGTCGGAACATCCTCTTTTGAGATGGATCGTTGCACATTTGTGTATCCCGAATTTCATACCGATAGCATGCATGTACTCTTCCACCATTATTAGAATACACTCATTGAATTCCACACATATTTTGAAATAGATCACTCGTTTCGCTTCTGGTTTTTAACTATACTTTTTAGTCTAGAACACCTTGTACATAATTCACCTTATACTCGATTGCAAAACCGTGACAGCTGTGTACCGGAAAACTTGTTAGCTATAATTACTCGATATCAATTCCTTCAAAATATTGTATACAAGAATCAGTTTTCACTCAACATCCACAATGAAATATCAACTTTTATTTTTCACAATACTTACCACTATCGAATTTGTTCGATCAGCTAAAATACTGGGAGTTTTTCCTTACTGTTCACACAGCCATTTTGTGCTAGGTTTTTCTATTATGAAGGAACTCTCTAGTAGAGGACATTCGGTCACTTTCATCAGCTGCTACCCTCAGAAGGTGCCAATAGAAAATCTGCGAGATATTTCTGTGAAAGATGATATCAGTGGACCTTTGCAAGGTGAGTGCCATTTTTCAGAGATTCAGGAAAAATAGTGAGTTTGGAGGGTTTAATGATGAAGAATGGTTCATTGAAGAAAAAAATATTTGAAAACATTCAGTTTTTGAATATTTTGTCAAATAATGCATTAAAACGCATTTTATTTTCTAAATATACAACTCCTTAAGGTATAAGTAGTACTGAACAGAGATTAAGACTATTGCCCCTCCAGAGGGCAGTGTCAACAAAATCAGATAGCAAAGAGAAAGACATTTACTTTCTATTAACAATTTTTTTTCTGCAACACATGAAAGAACCAGAGGTGGGTGAGTGTCCTATAGTAGTTACAATGCCAAACTGTACAATATTTTAGAAAAAATTCAGTACGAGTATAAACAGCATACCCTTCTCAACGAGTATTCAAAAACAATATATTACCTACATTTCAATCCATCACTTTGATGGAAATGAAGATGTTACAAAATTCTTGAGGTGGATTAAAATTGGAACTTTAATGAACAGTGTTTCAAACTATTACCTGAAATGTTATTAGTTAGCCACGATTCAATACATTTCAAAACAATATTTATACAGTGTGGTACCTTTAACTGGAATAAATTCAGTAGAATTGTAGCAGAATGTTTCTTTCAAAATTCCTGAGACAGGTCGATTTTGTTTTCAAGAGAGATACATTTCTACATTCTAATGAACCAAATTACATGCATCCCTTACATAGGGTAGCTACCCCTTAATTTTTTTTAAATAGCAATAAGGGTTGATTTGTATTAAATTTTAAAGACATATTATTCCTCTAAACAGCAGTGCTCGATTTTTAAAATTTCGTCGATTAGTTTCCGAGATACTATCAATTTAATATTTTGCATAAAAAATTAGCATTTTTCAAATTATCCTCATGTCTTATGAAAAATGCGCAGCTTTGAAGAAAATGTTCAAACAGGTCGATTTTGCCTTCAAGGGAGAAACATTTTAACAATGTAATAAATCAAATTACGTACACTCCTAAGCAGGGTAGCTACCCCTAGAAAATTATTAAATAGCAATAAAGGTTGGGTTGTAATGTGCTTTAGAAACAATTTATTTCCCTTAACAACAGTAATCGATTTTTAAAATTTGATCAAGGAGATCATAGTGAACTATCTAGTTTTACAATAAACATAAGGGTAACGGTTGAAAAAAAATGGTACAAATAAGATTTAATTTAATAGATGCTCAAAGTGTTCACCATGTACATGCTGTAGATGGATTGGCAGAAGAGGTGCAATTGAGTGGCCGGCACGCTCTCCTGACCTTACCCCACTAGACTTTTTCTTATGGGGATACCTCAAAACCAAAATTTATGTAACGAAACCAGAAACCATACATGAACTCCAAGAACGCATTAGGCATGAAATCCGTCAAATATCTCCAGACATTTTGAAAAATGTAAGAAATGAATTTTACCATCGGCTTGGACTATGCCAGCATGTACTTGGTGAACACTTTGAGCATCTATTAAATTAAATCTTATTTGTACCATTTTTTATCTAGTAAAACTAGATAGTTCACTATAATCTCCTTGATCAAATTTTAAAAATCGATTACTGTTGTTAAGGGAAATAAATTGTTTCTAAAGCATATTACAACTCAACCTTTATTGCTATTTAATAATTTTCTAGGGGTAGCTACTCTGCTTAGGAGTGTACGTAATTTTATTTATTACATTGTTAAAATGTTTCTCCCTTGAAGGCAAAATCGACCTGTTTAAACATTTTCTTCAAAGCTGCGCATTTTTCATAAGACATGAGGATAATTTGAAAAATGCTAATTTTTTATGCAAAATATTAAATTGATAGTATCTCGGAAACTAATCGACGAAATTTTAAAAATCGAGCACTGCTGTCTAGAGAAATAATATGTCTTTAAAATTTAATATAAATCAACAATTATTGCTATTTAAAAAAATTTAGGGGGTAGCTACCCTATGTAAGGGATGCATGTAATTTGGTTCATTAGAATGTAGAAATGTATCTCTCTTGAAAACAAAATCGACCTGTCTCAGGAATTTTGCAAGAAACATTCTGCTACAATTCTACTGAATTTATTCCAGTTAAAGGTACCACACTGTATATATTATCTACTCATTGTGCTGGAATTATTTTTATAAGATCACAAAGTTTACATTGCAAAAATTTTCTGAACACAGCAAGTTCACATTGAAAAAATATTCTTAATAAAAATAAATCATATTATTTTCAATGTCGAATGAAAAAGAAGTCTATGAGGTTATTGATAATCCCTTTGATACCTGAGCGAGCTATGACGCATATAAATGCTGCATTTCAAAAAGCAATAATCGAGAAAAAAATCCGCTTATTTCAAATTCATTGATGAGTCTGACAACAAGACAAAATACCGTTGGAGACTTAGAAATTTTGAAACAAACAAATATCAATCTTGCTTCATCTGAAATAATATAACACCTCAGATACACTTTTGGAGCCTTCTTCAGTAAGATCTTTTTTAATAGAATCCGTATCTAGTTTTGAAGGTTGAAACGACAATAATAACCTCAAAAAATAAACTAATTGGACATATACAACCAAAACAAAAAAGTTCAATGTATGCATAATTTAAAACAGCAAATCCAGTCTCCAAGCCTACAAAATCACCGCTCTATCTCCATAGTTTCCGTATTTGGGTAAATCTTCAAATTTATTCAAAAAAACGTATTGAATTCATTTTTTAAAGTGAACAACTTTCTCAACCTGATTCAAGGAGGTTTCAAGAAGTCATGCTTCACTCTTCGAATAATCGTGAGGAGCTGTTGAAGTCTTAAAAATGGTTAACACGGTACACTGTGTGACCTGAGTAATGTATTTGATTGTTTTTCCTATAATATTGTAAATGAACGAAACGTTCAACAAGTGAGATGCAATGTAATGTACTTTCACTCCTTTTATCATATTTGGAAAATCGAAAACAGTATTTTGCTATGGGTGATGACAAAATATCAAATCTCTTGCCTCACAACACTGGGGTTCCATAGGGTTCTCTTCTTGGACCACTTTTGTTTCTTATTTATACTAATGACTTCTTCTTCCGTATTCCTTCTCATATATGTGTGATACACGCTTATGATACATCACTATTATGCACTCACGAAATTGATTGCCACCTTAAAAATGGCAGTGACTTAGGTGGTGGTTCAATGATATTTTACTGAATAGAGAAAAAACAGAGACAAATTTTTCCACTAATGACAATATTACCAAGGGCGAGTCTGAAATCTGGTGTCGCTCAACACGATTTGGAGGACGGCCATATATTTAATAAAAACTGTCTGAAATTGTTGGGATCGGTACATGACAATAGATTTGTGAACTATGAACAGTGCAAAGGTCCAATTTAAAACAGCTATTGTATGCTTTTTAATGAATGACTCTGTTAAAATTTTTGTAGGCTTCCACGAGAAAGTCTTGTAAATGTATATCCGAAATCATTGATGTTTAACGAAAAGTGAAAAAAAAGTGAAAGTAAAATTATTATTTATTGATACATTAAATTATAAAACAACAACAAAAATTAATTGGCGCTCCGGAGCGACTTCTTATAAGAAAATAAATATCACAAAAAATTTCTAAATTATAATCTTCCTCAACTACCTCCACAGTAGGTAAACGTCTGTGGGAAAACAACTACTTCCCCGGCTAATACGACGCTATATTGAATTATATCAGACAGATATTTTAGCATGATCCTGCTGCTTGATGAACGAGAAACATCATGAGGCTAGCCTCTGTAAGGAATCTCAATATCCAGTAAGGGTATTAGCCGGGAAAGTAGTAGTTTTTCGACATTAGAGTTTGCTAGAGCCTTCCGTGTAGGTAGTTGAGAGTGATTGTTATTTAGAAATTTCTATTGTAATATTCATTTTCTGATTCGTATGTATCTCTCCTCGATAGTTTTCACTTTTGATTTCTGTAGTGAATTCCAGAGTTGAAAATTAGTTTCCTCCATCTCCTGAAGACGCCAACTTGGTTGGTGAAACGCCAGAGATTCCAGTTTTACCTTCCATCTAGTCCTAACGTATACTAGGTTTTGACTAACTAATTCTAGAAATCACACTCCATTGAAAAAGATTACGTTAATTCTTAGATCACAAAAATTCATAATATCTAAGTTTACCTCTTGTATGGAAGGGACTACTGGTTACCGAGAAAACTTATTCAACCAAGCAAATCAAATCATAATGCCCCTAAAAACGATTCGGGAGATTTCAAAGTACAGCTAGTTCTCCAACTCACATGATGTGAAATATAGAAAAAACTCTTCTATTTCTCATTCTCAAATGAAAGAGGATATTTGTAGAAACGAAATTTGATGATTATATGCAGACATTAATTGACCCGTGTAGTTGAATTTGACTTCATGGAGCAAACAAAAGTTAATTCAGTTTTTTCATCGCGACTTTGTCAGTAAAAATGATTTTGAATTGTTTTATATGATCGATCTAAAAATGATGTTTCTAAAACAACTTTCTTGAAAAGGAAAAATACCTACCAGTTTGATTTGTGATTTTCAAAAGTTGGTCAATATATTTTTGGCAAAGTATAATTCTCAGAAAAATCACCCTTAATTTTCCAAAACAATTTTTTTCTCGTATTTCTAGTTCATTTCATTTTCAATTGGCCGTTTCATATTTCACAAATTATCAATATTTTCATGTTTTTTGAATAATTTTTTTCATGATATATGTGAGACAAATTTCGTTGCTCAAAAGTGAAGTTAATATTATATTATATTTCACCAAACGTGAAACAAATAATATACAAAAAATTTATATTCTGACCATATGTGAAACATGGTTGAATTATGAAATATCAGATGAAATCATACGGTATTCAGGAAAAGATTGTGGAATGAGACACGATAGTGTATTCATAAAAAAATCCACGAATTCCCAGGCACTGAACAAACGTGGGTTGAAGTAGAATCGAAGAGGAAAACCACATCCTATCTTTTATTAGAACGACCATCCTTGCGAACCGTTTGAGTGAGATCCTGCATATTGAATATTTTTGACATTTTCGATAATTCACGCTTCATAGAGGTAATACTATAATAATTAAAGATGGGAAGGAAAAGGTTTCGGCTTTCTACTTCTTTAACTTTATACAAAAAACGTGAAAAACTTCTAAACGAAGGAAAAAAATAATAAACTCCTTACATGTTTTATGTGTAGATCATGCAAAGAAATTACTTTCAGGCACGAACACTTCTGTATTAACATTGAATCACACATAATAAAAAGTACTTTGGAAACAACAACTCTTATATGAGCATTGAATTATACAAAAAACACTTTTTTCGACTCAGGTTGTAGTCCAAACATTAGTTATGGATTTGAAAGAGATATCATTAACAGGATTGCTACACAAACAGTATGTGAAAGAGATATAATTTCACTTAGATGAAATACTATCATTCTCAATGGCAGCCACTATGAGTTACTATTTTGAATGATCCACACATCTTTTTGAAGAGTTCATTTTGAAAATAATTGCTTTCTTTTCCCAAATAGAGATGAAAAAGCAGAAAGTCAAAACCTTCGTTTCCCAAAAGTAAACCTCTCCTGAAAATAAAATCCCTTCAATTCAATTAAAGTTATTATGGTAATGATGAAATTATAAACGATTATTACCTTTCTTCTGAATGTGAGTAGTGAAATTTATAATGCCCCAATATCCCCCCGCCCGGGTTGAGTGCCCTGAGTTGAAATCTTCCCCAGACGGTTAATGTGTGCAGAACATCCCATCTCGTCTATCTACCTCCGCTCCTCCGGAACGGTCCTCAACTTACTAATGGGCACTTCAGCAAGATTGACATCTACCCTTCTTTGGTCAAAATTCAGCTTCTAGGTGCTTTTAATTTCTGATCTGTTGAATTGTTTCATCATGACTTTCCTAACTAAATTATTGCATGGGTTCCCCAAAAACTAACCGGAGAAATCACGAGCAAGTGTTGGTTCTCAATGAATCTGAAAAAGAGATTAATCTGAAACTGGTTGACGCCGTAAACGCAGGCCTCCTGCGTTTACGGCGGCCCTTACGCACGTGTTCATAAACGACTGGATCTGTCTTCTGTGTGTCGCTGCGCACTGACCCTAGGCAGTGTAGGCGCACAGGATTATCGGTAGTATTACGGTCATCAGCAGCTTCACTTTCAGTGCAATGTTGCTTCTTCGATCTATTATTGGTAATAGGTTTTGTCGGGTAGATCTCGCCATTCCTATTGTCTAGGTTGACCTCCAAGTATCTAGCTTCGTTGGTCCACGGAATCTCTTGTGCGTTGACGATGGCATTTCCTTCCGGGTTGAACAGTATTGCCTGACTCTTGTCAGGGTTTATACTGATCTTCTACAGGTTGGCCCATTCCTCTAATTTATCTGTGTGCTGCTGCAAATATCAATTTATAATGACGAATTGAAAGTGAAAAATATTTTTTCAAAATAATCTCCAAAGAGAACTGTTTTTGAAACCCCCTCTTCTCTCCCTAGCATCAAACCGGAATTTATTTTGCCCCAGAAATTTCGAAATGAATCAAGTTACTACGTTTTGTATTGATATTTTAGATTCAATCATGACTGTTAGAATTATGTTGTATATTTTTTCATTGAGTGTAGTTAAAAGAACTGTTATATTACTTGGAAACGAAACATTTGAGGAAAGAAAATTATTCAAGAAATCCGGCCAAAACAGTTCGAAGTTGGGACATGTGAACAGGGTATGATTTATATCCGCTAAAGAAAAATTGTCACATGAACATCAAGAGAAACTTAATAAATTTCATGTCGAATGAAATCCATCAATTTAAGACATTACATAATTTATATAACATAAGACCTTCTAACGATATTTTAGTATATTTCCTGATACGAAATTTTTCTTATTCTATTAACGATCAAGTAACGTACTGTATGTTAAATCACACGACAAGTTCGCTACTAATATTGTTGCTGTTCCGAAAAACATTGCTTTACGATCTTATCAGCTTTCGAAAACTATATGAAATTATTAAATCAATGTCTTTTAGCGATATACAAAGTTCAGAGATAGGGCTTTACTTGAAACGACCTTGAAACGAGTCACCCTCTGAAGTTTCGTACCGTAATTAGGAAAACACCCTGTTCATCGTCAACAATCTGAATTGGAATGCACATTGTGAGCCGCTTGTGTACAAGTTAAGATCGGTAACGTATACGTTCAGAAATTCGGGAGTTGTTCTTAACATGTTGAGTTATGTGTTAACAATGAGTAAATACTCAATATTTCTCGAAAAGCTTCCCAGAAAATATTTTTGAAAAAGTTATCGAGTTCACGAACAAAACCGACTCCACTCTGAAATTCAGAACTAGACTGAAGTCGTTTTTATTCGATCACGGTTTCTCTGCACTGACTAGATATTTTAGTATTCTCGGTTGAATGCACTGCCGTCTATCAGAAAACAACCACTCCCCTGGCTAATACCATGAAGGGCGTTGGATTATATCCGACAGGCGTCAGTGCAGGAATATTGCATATGCAATTGACAATACAACTGAAAGAGTCGACCTTCAATTTTGGAACGGGCTCACTTGTAGACCAGTTTCGGGCTCATTAGCCACTCGTCAGCTCATTAGCTATCGTCGACCTAAAGTCAATGATATTCTATAATTGAAAATCGGAATTCTTTCAGAGTATTTCATTCCTCTTCCTAAGTTGGAGCCAACAACAAAATGTCACTACATCTAGTGGACGAGGTACTAACCAACTGCATATCCGAAATTTGCACGATTCCTCTAAATAAGGAAGAAAAACTTTCTTATTAGTCAGTGGGCTATGCTTGAAGAGTGGTAGTGAATAAATCCAAAGAAACGTTCACTTTAAACGTTCAAGCCAGTCTCAGATATATTTACACAGTAAGTTGAATGGACCCTTCGTGGTATTAGCCAGGGGAGCAGTTGTTTTCTGATAGGCGTCAGTCCATTCAACCTACTGTGTAGGTATATTCGAGACTGGCTTGAACGTTCAAAGTTCATTTCTTTAGATTTATTTACTGCCAGTCTTCAAGCAAGCACTGACTAACAAGAAAGTCTACCTCATCAGAAATACATGAACCTTTCGTGTCTACTCGTATTATATGAAATATGTGTAAGTGGTGTTTTGACAATTTTTATACGAAATGTCAATGTTTGAGGAAATAAAGAACCTGAATCTGACTAAATATTTTACGAGAGACTAAAAACTATGTTTACCTAGGTATTGTCCATGTATAAATGATACTTGCGATTATCACTAATTTCGCGATATGAATTGGCATATGAATTGGCATTAAGGCATAAATCTTAGCCGCACAGATGCAGAAGGCTGTCATTCTTGGCTTACTGCGCTTGCTCAGGGCAAATGATTCTCGAACCCAATGATCACTTACCCCACGGTGTGGGGAGTGGTCCTTGGTTGATAATGCTGGAGCGCCCTCCCGAATGTATCGGGGCTTCGGGAAATAGGGCCTGACCCGCGCAAACTACGGTGAAAAAAAATAATAATACGTTCATTCACATTAGGATGTTTAGAATAATGGCATTAAAAAACTGTGGGTGTCACTGGCAAATAAACGGAGAAAACCCATTTAGGACCAAATGGTTGCGCATGGGTCATTATTTCTCGTTTGTTGTATAGAATGTTTCCCAAAGAAATAATTACATTCATCATTTAAGTAAAACAGTAATTTGAAGAATTTAAATAATTACAAAATTTCAAAATATTTTTACAAACACTTACATAGTAACACATATTTACAGAGAAATAGAAGATCCAATAGACTCCCTTGAGGAATTACATGTTTAGTGCTATCTATGTCTCATTGTGAAATACTACTACTAACATCGATCGCTTTGGTGTGTGTCTTTTTTTGATAACCAGCTGTGTAGTCTGAGAGTTTCAGAATGGTAGCCTGATTTTCATCAATTTCTATCAGGAAAACAAAGGGACCTTCATTGAATTTCTGAATTGAATGAATTCGAATTTCTTTCTACTCAGCTTTTTACTTTTTTCAGCATTACATATCAGAATGAATATATCTACATTCTCACAGATGAGCTATTGGACAAAACTAGAAGCTGGCTTGGATTTTGGAATGACGACAACAGAAGCTACTTTGAAGAGCAAATATGTTCAAGAACTAATCAACTCCAGAGAAAAATTTGATTTAGTAGTACTAGAGCATTTCGCGAATGAAGCCCTGATGATTTTACCTCATATATTCAACAGTCATCTTATTCTCGTAGCCCCAGGACCTGCTACGTTCTTTACCAACTATTTGATGGCCAATCCAGCACCATCTTCGTACGTGCCGAGCTTTCTGTCAGGATTCAGCTCCAAAATGGGAATATGGCAGCGAATATGCAATGCCTACTACGAGTTGGCTGGGAATATCTTTATAAGTACCAGGATGTTACCCGAGCAGAATGCCCTTTTGAAAAGGGTCCTTCCCGATACTCCAGATCTCGGAACTCTCTTATACAATGCCAGCATGATGCTTGTTTCGTCGCACAGTATTTCTGATCCGATACCATTGCAGCAGAATATTAAAGATATCGGCGGTTACCATTTGAGCGCTCCAAGACCTCTGCCTATGGAAATAAAGAAGTTCATGGACAACGCAACTGAAGGAGTCATTGTATTTTCCTTAGGATCGCATATAAAAAGCGATCGGTGGTTTTCTGCAGAGAGACTACGAGCTATTCTGAATGTTTTTTCAAAAATCAAGCAGAAAGTCATTTGGAAATTTGAGAGTGACCTCGAAGAAAAGCCGGAAAATGTGATGCTTTTGAAATGGTTACCACAGCAAGACGTTTTGGGTAAGTAGAGTGAGAATCATCAGAAATATTCAAATGGATGAATAACTATTGAAATGATGCATCACTCTAGTTCAGGGGTTCCCAAACTTTTCTAAGTCCGGGACCACTTTTATATTATTCTTGGTAGCAGAGATTACTATGTAAGACTTACATAGTGGTACATACCTACTTACATTGTGAGTATAGTAAAAATAAACTGTAATAATCAAACTGAAACTTTAATTGGAAACTCGATAGGATATTACAAAACAAGAAATGATAATATTTTTAGGATAAACTTCTGTCAATTTCTATTAATGTGATTTCTGGTTTTACATCGTCTTCATGAGTTCGGCTATCACAGGACTCATATTGTTACTCAAAGCTACACGCAAATCATCACTTACTTACAAACGATTCTTCGCCATGTTTCTGATTACCAATAGAGCAGAAAATTCTTGTTCACATAAATAAGTGGTTGAAAAAATTATGAAATAGCACAAGGCGATTTCTCGAAGTTTAGTATAAGAAATTGCTTTTTTACACCAAAACGACTCAAGTGAATTCGATTCTAAAGCATTCTTGCAGTTTCATTTTGGAATTCAATGAGTTCTCCCTGGATTTCTTCAGCGTCCGTACTAAAAGCGTTATGAATTTTTGATCAACTTTAGCTTCTCCGATATATTCTAGGAAGTAACGATTGAATTCATCAATCAACATTTGTCAATGAGTCTTGCTGTTTTCTTGTATATTTGCTTAAATAGCACCATACTTGTTGTCTTCCACAAGTGTTTTTAATGTCGCAATCGCAAAATAATTATTTTCTTCAATTTTGCCTAACCACAACTAATGTTTGCAAATAAAAGCGCGAACTTTATATTCGAAAATGAATATATTTGCGACGTTTTCTAATTGTTCATTTCCCGAACCGTATGTATTTAATTTATGTAAGTGTGTGAAAATATCAACAAGATAAGCCAAATTCATTTGGCATGCCGGATTAGTAAACTGTTTCAACAAATCATTCATTTATTGTCAATCAGAAAAATCTCAACCTCTGCTCTCAGTTCATATAATCTTCCCAACATAATTCCTTTCGATAGCCATCAAACTTTTGATAGCATTTACAACTATTATGGTCATTTTCAGTGTATCATTGAGGCACCCAGGAAGAGTCTTAGAAGCTAACACCTGACGATGTATGATCCAGTGAGTTGTTATTACCTAATGATTTTTCTGTTTCACTAAAGTCGCCAGACCGGAACATGATTCCAACATTGCCGGAGTACCATCAATACAAAGGGCAACGAGTTTATCCCACATAAGATTATCTTTCTCAAATTATTCCGATATTGAGTTCATGACGTCAATACCTTTCGATGTTTTTTGCCAATTTCCGTGAAATCAATAATTCTTCTTTTATTATGTTGTCGTCGTCTAAAAAGCGGACAAATACAAGTAGTTGACAGCAATTTGAAATGTCAGTCGACTTATCACACTGCAAAGCGAAAAATGGCGTCTTTTTTATTCTTGAAACAAGTTACTACTTGATTACATTTGACATAAGTTTACAATTCGAGCTTTGACCGTGTTATTGGACAAAGGTATATCTTTTATTTTTTTCTTGGCCTCTAGATTGTGCTATTGATTTCTAGATTGTGCTATCAATTCAGAAATCTCAAACGACGCTACAAATGATTTTTCCGATTTCTAACGCTAGACCCGAGTTTCATTTTTTTTTCAGTTCTCTAATTTTCCTTCAAAGAATTCTAGCGGACGGTCAGACAAATTTGGATGTAAATTTAGCGGGCTCACCGCCCGTGGACCACTGGTGGTCCACGCACCACTGATTGGGAACCATTGCTCTAGTTGAAGTGTATTAGATTATTAAGCTGAGTCTTAGTTCAGATATCAGTTTCTAATTTGAATTATGAAATATTAGTAAATCTACTTTGTAATTTCGAAACATCCGTAATTTATTCGAGAATTACATGAAAAAAGTATAACCAGCGCCAATAACAAAGAGTGAGAGAAAAGCTGCAACACTGTCCAGGGTCTTATGTTGATTTCAATGATAGATGGAATAGTTTTCCTGTCATTTCTCACATTCATTATTAGTGATGAATAAGTATGAAAAATCTCGTGTAACCAAAAGTTTGAGTGTTAAATGATATTCTTCATTAAGTGTAGGTAGAATGGTGAATTGTTTGACATTCATCTCAACAAATATGACCCACCGTTTTTTCATAATTGGATGTAGGTCTTAAGTAAGTGGGTCTATTCGACTCTCCACCGCAACCCATAAGGGTTTATTGTGGCTCACACCTATTCACACTCGGCCAAATAAGCCCAGCTTCTTAACGAAGCCGATTAGTTTGTATGGTGAGTGGTCTTCCAGGTCAGATAGTGAGAGTACGGATCTGCCGAACTCAAGGAACCTAATTCGGTCCCCAGCGGGGCAGGCACAAAGTATATGCTCTGCAGTCTCATCATTTTCCAGACAGAGGCGACACACACTGTCTTCCGACAGTCCAAGTCTGTGTATGTGATAATTCAAATGACAGTGACCTGTAAGAAGGCCTGTTAGACATCGTAGTTCATCCCTACTGTAGTTCAACAACTGTTGGGAGTCAAGCTTCGAAGGGTGAATGAACACTTTGGAATGAGCCAATCCTGGTAGATTCTGCCAGGAGTTTATAACTCTTCTTGCCATCCAGGTGTAAAGTGTTTTTTTGAGAAAGCCCAAAGCGATGCCAGTGACAGGTTCTGGTCCAATGCAGCACCCTCCTTGCAAGAAAGTCAGCAGCTTCATTGCCTTTCAGGCCAGTATGGCCAGGAATCCAGACCAGAGACAATCTGTTTAGTCTTTCTATCGAGGAGAGTCTTTTTTGGCAGTTTGCTATTGACTTGTGAGTGAGGTTGGATTTATCCAATCTCTCGGCACACAATTCAATAGCGTAAATTTCCACTTGAAATACAGTCGCATAAGTTTCTAGGCAGGTAGATAACTGTGTCCTGACGGTGTGGTACTGATGGCACCACTGCCAGACAAGCCTGTCTCTTTAAGCCAGAGAGCTTCTCTTGGGCCGTTTTCTGTAAAGCCTTCGGCCACAAAGCAATTGCACCATACATGATCATTGGTCTGACAATCATCACATAAATCCAATGGATTTGTTTGGGTCCTGAACCCCAAGTTTTACCACAAATCCTTCGACTTTTTCCAAGTGAGCGTTCCAGGTGAGTCTTTTATCAAGGACAATGCCAAGATATTTCACCTCCGTTCCAAATGGAATGACCACACCATTGAGGGAAAGTGGCGTTAGATTGTCCAATTTCCTTCTCTTGGTAAAGGGTATTAACATAGTTTTGCTGTGGTTGACAGACATCTGCTCCCTCAGGCACCAACTGTGAACAACGTCCAACGTGCTTTGGAGGATATTACAAGCTACCCTTCCCGACGTGGACCTTGCTAGAATGACAAGGTCATCTGCATGAGCTTGCAGATCAACTGTTTTTCTGTCGAGGGCATCAAGCAGACTATCCACCAGGAGCGACCACAGAAGGGGAGATAGTACCGGGCAGCCCCTGGTGACCCTGGTGGGGTGAAGGGTCGTAGTTGTAGTTCTGTTCACTAGCATGGCATAGATTCATCCAGTTATGGTCGATTCTTTACCCTTTCCAGCCAGAGACAATCCTATAGATTTAGGTAGTGTATTGTCAAATGTTCCTTCAATATCAAGAAATACAGCAACCGCAAATGGATGTAAATCAATTGAAAAACATTATTGAGAAAAGTATTGAAAAAAAAATGGTGGGCAATACATTTTCTTGAAGCAGACTGAAAAAGTTAATATATTCAGTTTCTCACTTTTGAGAATATATTTCATATATTTCGTATAGTTATTAAAAACCGAAGTCCCTTCAATTTTTTCAAAATTTTCATCACTTTTTTCCTCAGGAGTTGCATATTGATGAATATGCTCAGAAATTGAATATCGATAACTGGAAAGGCCATCATACATTCACTTGTTATTTGAATCAGTAATCATACCAATTTCTAATACAAGCATGACACGTAGGCTTCATATTCAAGGATCATCTACTTATTATTTCGTTGGATGGAAGTGTCGACGTTAATGACATTTCCCGGTAGGCAGTCGTTGCGCGGTACTTTGACAATAACCGTGTGTATGAAGAACTGATATGTTTGCTTCCATTGGAAGTAAGGACAAGAGGCGAAGACATGTTACAGACATTATCAGAAACGGGGACTAGAATTGACTAAGTTTTAATGCGTTACTACAGACGGAGCATCCGCTATGGTCGGAACCCATAATGGATTTGTATCTCTTCTGGCTACTCGCCTTGGTCGACCACTTTTGAAATTTCATTACATCCTTCATCAAGAAAGTATATGCGCGCAGATCTCTAGCGGAAGCTTAAAATCCGTTGTTGAAGTTGTCAACTACATTGCTGATCGTTCTTAATTAACAGACAATTCAAGTCTTTTCTACAAGAAATGGGAAATGCATATTAAAATAGTCGATTACACAGGAGATTTCTGAAATGTTCAAGAGAAACTAGGTCATTTTTGTTGCAAAAAATCAGGCTCAAGTCTTTCCTGAACTAGATAATAAAGAATGGAGTTGTAAGTTAATGTTCTCAACGATATTACAAATCATATCGGCGAACTAAACCTTGAGTCGCAAGGATCGGGTCAAACTGTTCTAGATTTGTTCTAGTTTTTTTCCATATAAAAATCATTTTGAATCCATATCGAAGCCGGTTAACAACAGAAAATTCAGAGGTGTGTGTGAAAGTAACGAGACATCAACCAGAAATACAAAAGCTTTCGCGAGAAACACAAGGACAAGAATCACATTGAAAACATTTCATTTATTTTCAATTGAAAGTTTTAGAAATATTGTATATCATTTTTTCATTACTTTCAACAATTTTTGTATAAAAATTATATAGATTTTTTGTGGCACTTTGGCGTTGTTGAAAATTGAACATGGGCACCTCTTTATTGAAAGGTTGCCAACCCTTGATCTACTTGATACATTTCATCACCAGAAATGATGAAAACTTTGTTTCACAAAATTATAAAGTCAAAAATTGGAGAGCTGCTCATTTATATCATTTCCTTTACTATTGTGATTTCGTGGAAGACCTTCAGAAACAACTAACTTCATATAAAGATTGAATTATACGAAAGAAAAAATACTTTCGAAATAACTTCTTTTATGTAAACATTGAATTATACTTTACACGAAAGAAATAGTACTTAAGTACTTTCGAAATAACTACTCTTATTCGAATATTGAATTTTTCATGAAACACTTCACCTATTCAGTTTGTACTCTAAACATTCGTTTTGGAATCGAATCAGACGTCGTTTAGAGAATTGCTACACAACATAGTATACAAAAAAAAAATTTTTGAAAAGTGACATGAGAATTTCTATGTTTTTTACCACTTTCATTTGTAACTAACTTTGCTATGTGTACATATATGACGAAACTGCAGTTACGTTGGTTACAAATAAAAGTGGTGAAAAACATAAACATTTTCATGTCTCTTTTCATTATGATCTCCTACCACGTAGTAACGGCCACATCCATCAATTTACTGAAAGTGATTTTTACTTACTCAGTCATGGAACCCTGTCATCCTCAATGGAGGACATCGATGTTTCGGAATAAGACATTATATAAGATGGAAAAGTAGAAAGCCAAAACCTTTCGTTCCGAAAAAATTAGCCCCCCGAAGAAAATTCCCCTTTTTAATTCAAATAAGATTTCACATTGTTCAACATCATCTCTATACTGAAATCAAAAAATAAAAGAGAAATACCATTTTTCTTCATTTTCAAATGAAACAGAGACGATTCAATTTTTCCCGAATATAGTTGCAGCAACCTTTCATCAAGCATCTTTGAACTTTCACTTTCATAGCATTAAATATCCCAACATTAGGAGAATGACTGAACTTATCATTTCATTTTTCAGGTCATCAGAATACCGTAGCATTCATTACTCACGGAGGTTTACTTGGTATCACAGAAGCAATTTATCATGGAGTACCCATTCTCGGATTGCCAATCGTATGGGACCAACACAAAAATGCTGAAGAAGCGGTTCATACGGGAATGGGATTGAAAATCGACTTTCTCGATTTGAACGACAAAAACTTTGACAATGCTTTAAACGAGCTTTTAAATAATCCTAAGTGAGTCATAATTTGACTATAAATACCTGATCAGTTGTTCATTGGTGTGGTATATACATTATTTTCATCATAAAAAAAAATTATATAGAATTTCAAAGCACAATTAAGATGATGATAGGTAGTATTGGTAATTCTTAAATGAAATTATTCAATGATGATAATTTAACTTTTCATTATTAGGTTAGGTTAGGTCTAAAGTGACTGGGTCTATTCAACCCTCCACCGCAACCCGCGAAGGTTCATTGTGGCTTACACCTATTCACACTCGGCCGATTAGTTTGTATGGTGAGTGGTCTTTTAGGTCAGATAGTAAGAGTACGGCTCTACCGAACTCTAAGAACCTGATTCGATCCCCAGCGAGGCAGGCACAAAGTATATGCTCTGCTGTTTCATCATTTTCCAAACAGAGGCGACACACACTGTCTTCCGACAGTCCAAGTCTCTGCATATGATGATTCAAATGTGAGTGACCTGTAAGAAGGGCTGTTAGACATCGTAGTTCATCCCTACTGTAGTCCAACATCTGTTTGGTATCAAGCTTCGAAGGATGAATGAAGACCTTGGAATGAGCCAATCCTAGAAGATTCTGCCAGAAGTCTATAAATCTTCTTGCCATCCAGGTGTTAGAAGTTTGTTTGGCAAAGCCCAAAGCGATGCCAATGACAGGTTCTGGTCCGATGAAACTGCTTGCAGCACCCTCCTTTGCAAGGGAGTCAGCAGCTTTGTTGCCTTATAGGCCTGTATGGCCTGGAATCCAAACCAGAGTTAATCTGTTAAGTCTTCCTATCGAGAAGAGTCGTTTTTGGCAATTTGCTACTAATTTAGACATTGCTCGTTAGGAGCCAAGAACTACCAACGCCGCATAACTATCTTGGGAATATCTTTATCGACTTGTTTGTGAGGTTGGATTCATTCAATCTCTCCGCACACAATTCGAAAGCGTAAATTTCCGCTTGAAGTACAGTCGCTTAAGTTCCCAGGCAGGTAGATATCTCTGTCCTGGATCTGCGACTAAAAACACTGCACCAGAACCGAAAGGTGTTTTTGATCCATCTGTGAACAACTATCCTTCTCCCTGAGGATTCAGTCATTTCTACTCCGGAATAGTGCTTTATAAGACAGTACGTAGTTGACAGTTGGAGATCAGAGATCATATCCAGAATTGATATGTGCAAGTGGTAATGTGCATATCCCCCCTTTCCAGAAAAATGTAAAGCCTGTAAAGCCTTCGGCCATCAGGCAATTGCACCATAAGTGATCATCAGTCTTACAATCATCACATAAATCCAGTGGATTTGTTCGGGACCTAAACCCCAAATTTTACCACAAATCTTTCGACATGTCCATAGGGACAGTCTGGCTTTGGGTAAAACTTTTTCCAAGTGAGCGTTCCAGGTAAATCTTTTATCAAAGAAAATGCCAAGATATTTCACCTCTGTTCCAAATGGAATGACCTCACAATTGAGGGAAAGTGGCGTTAGATTGTCCAATTTTCTCCTCTTGGTGGAGGGAATTAACACAGTTTCGCTAGGATTGACAGACATCTGCTCCCCCAAGCACTAACTGTAAACAACGTCCAACGCGCTTTGGAGGATATTACAAGCTACCCTTGCCGACGTGGACCTTGCCAGGATGACAAGGTCATCTGCATGAGCTTGCAGATCAACTTTTTTTCTGTCGAGGGCATCAAGCAGACTATCCACCTGGAGCGACCACAGAAGGGAAGATAGTACCCCACCTTGAGGGCAGCCCCTGGTGACCCTGAACCTGATAGCCTCGCCTTGAAGGGTCGTAGTTGCAGTTCTGTTTACTAGCATGACATAGATCCAGCCAGTTATGGTCGATTCTATACCCTTCCTAGCCAGAGACAATCCTATAGATTTAGGTAGTGCATTGTCAAATGCTCCTTCAATATCAAGAAGTACAGCAACCGCATTACTTTCGTTCAAAAAAAGTAACAGCTTGAACAAGCTGAGTTATAACCAAATTAGCAATTGAAAATTGCCTGGAAATATTCATTTTCAGACCGAACTTTAACATTCAACTGTAATTTCCCTCAAACTGTATTCTCTAGAATCCATTTTGGAAAATATCAACGTTACTGTTATTTCTAATCGCAGAATAGATGCAAACTGAAACAATTCTAGGTTTACTCAATAAGATTTTGAACAAAATGGCAAATTATTGATTTTGTAGATTTGATCCACAAAGTGTGATAAATTCATTGATTGATAGCTCGAATAATGCAATCACAAATCTGGTACAGTCAATATAAATTTCATCAATTTTTAATCCAGTGGCAACATAAACATTTGAGAATATGTCAAATAGTACTTTAGCATATGTGAGAATGTTTGTACAATATTTGCAAAAATCTCATAGCAAAATGAATTTATTACTTTTGGATATTTTGCTCTGAATTTTTGAAGTAAAAAAAATCTTTCAATTTTTAAAACTTGACACACCTATCTTTCGTCAAGTAGATTCCATATCTCTGTTCAAAATTTCAATATTGACTAAAAATAATTTTTATTGACCATCCACTACTTGAGAAAATAGGAAAATTGAATGTACTCAGCAATTTATCGTGGTGAATTGAAAAGTTTGCCCTTTGTACACATGTGTCAAATTCTCCATCACAATTTTTATATTTTTTCAGATTGTGAAAGATGGAAATACCCGAAATTGGTCAATGAAATAATATAGTTTTCTGAACAAAAAATTACTTTCTTCCAGGAAAAAAATGCATTTCAGATGTGCCTTGTTTTGCAATTAAAAATCAACTCTAATTTTTCTCCAAGTCACTCAAATTCTGTAAATGCATTTCCGTGTATTTCAACTTGGCTACAAATACGTTATTGATATTTCCAAAAACAAAATATGAATATTGAATGAAAGTCTTTTCTTGTGGAGGATATCAGAGTATTTCATCGACCGTCTTTGGGTATTTTCACGTTCCACAATCTGAAAAATAGAAAATTGTAATATGGAACTCTATAATATTCTCCAGGAAGTCAAGATATGGAGTATTCACATTATTAATTTTCCAAAAGCAATTTAGCAAAAAGCCTTCAATTGATTTTCTGTCATAGTATCACAATAGTTTGTGCATGAGAAATGCTTCCGTTTCAACCTGAATGGTGTGGTTTTGAAAATATGAGGGCTGCAATGTAGTGGAATTCCAGAACAGTCTTGAATATAGAATGTTCTGGACTTTGTGAACCATTTTTTCATGGATAAAACACAAGTACTACTGGAAAATCCTCAAGACGCTCTTAGAGTGGTTCCTGTGCGAAAGAAGTGATTCACATTGGAATTGAATCGCTGGAGATTAAATCCATTTGGAACAAAATTCTCAGGAAATTTATTTCACCTGAACACCGTTCTACAAATGAAAGAGTTTCTTTACTGTGAAGTTCGAGGTGTACTGAGTTTAAACTCGAAACGATGAGCAGCCACAGTCCGTCGCATATTTCTGATATGTAGGTACCGTTCTTGGAGGAATCAAATGTGCCAAGTCACTTGAACATTTTCCGTGAAAGTATCTATAGAGGAGAGACAAATCTCCAACCTTTCTTCGATATTCCAGACTTTCAAGGTTTAAAGTGATATTCGCGTCCCCAATCAGCGGATGGCTCTTTTCTGAAAGGAATCTGTCAGGTTCAGGGTATGTTTTGGGACGGAGCTTCATACATGAAAACAATACTTCGAAGAAAATCTGTTCTGAGCGTTATAAAGCATCAACAGTGGCAGAGGTGTGTACAGTTTTCTGGTTCGGAACAGTGTTCCAAGCTTTTGAGAAGCAGCCCATGCAATTCCAGCGACATGATTGTGCCAAAACATATTAGTGTTATTTTGACCCCCAACAAACTTATCAAAGCAGAGCGCGGAATTGTCTGACCTAACATTATTATATCCTGTTCGGAGACATTTATCTTTTTGAAGAAAACCGATGCCTGGGTTTTTGTAGCATTGAATTGACGAGACAAGTGTGTGTGTGAGGATGCTTTTTTTTCAATGAGTCCAATAAAAAGAGGGTTGGAGATAATATGGATCCTTGAGGAACACCAGCGTTGAAAGTTTTCGAGAGATATCCATCGACGGCCACTTGCAGGGAACGTTATTTCAGTGACATACGTTATATAAGTGACATACGATGAAAGGTAGCCTGTTAATCTTCGTTTTCGAAAGCCAAATTGACGATCGCTCAAGATGTTGAAGCCTTCCAAATATCTGAGGCTTCTTCATGATTTTTGATATCACTGATAGCAAAGCGACTGGTCTGTAGTTATTTGGGTGAGGCTACTCATTGGTAGATATATATGAATCAGGATCGACCTTTCTTTCCAACTATCACATAATTTCAATTGGTGAGAATTAATATACTATGCTTCTCAATAGGTTTCCAATTACCACATTATATGTAACCATTATTTCAAACATCGAGTATATATAGTAAGTGGTCCTTTAAAGATAGACATATGCTATCGCGGAATTTTCTGGAAACCTATAAAAAATTACTAATGAATTGTTCCACCACACCAATGAATTTGAGTAGCTTCATGCTTTATACAGGGTGTCACTGAATAAGTGTAAAACATTCAAGGAGGTGATTTCTCATCCAGAAAAAGATAAGATCTTTCATATAAACAAACTTCATTGGAGCATCCCTTGAAGGGGGTACATAATTTTTTTTCACAAGCACTGAAAAAGTTACAATATTGAAATTAACCTGACGTTTTGTACTACCAAAAAGACACTTAGCCAGTAATTTATTTGGTTTATCCCATGGTTGTAAGGGGTGGAAAACGCAACCCCTAAAATTTATTTCCAATGTAATTTTTTGTCTTATTATTTGTTTACCATTTAAAAATTTATTTCTGATAGCCTGTTTCATTCCAAACAAAAAATGTCTCTTGGGTTTTTTGCCCAAAATAAACCAGTTCGCAGCAAAAAATTATTTTACGAACAACTACGTTACATCGTCATAAATGCAAACTGGATTTATTATTATTTTGTAGTTAGTACCTGCATTAGACGATTAAAGGGTAATAAACAAAACTAATTTATTAATAACAAAACACAAAAATATGTAGAAATCATAGTAAATGTTCAATGTATCTACCTTCAGACATTACGCATGCTTCTAGACGTCGGCGCATTGAGCCACGTATTCGCTAAAATATTCCTGGAGTCTCTCTGTTTACCCTGCACGCATCGATGATGCGGTTTCTTAAGTCCTCTACATCGCGAACAGGAGTACGATAAACCAAATTCTTTGAATGGCCCCAAATAGAGAAATCTAGAGGATTGAGATCCGGGGATCGAGCGGGCCAGTTATGTGGTCCTCCTCGACCTATCCACTGATTTGCATATGTTTCAGTTAAATGCTGACATGCTACTTGGCTAAAATGGGGAGGAGCCCCATCATGCATAAAAAATATATCCCTTCTGACGCCCAAAGGAACTTCCTCCAGCAGTACTGGATGCACTTCTCTCAAAAATTGAGCGTATTTCTCACCATTTGATCGAGGAGGTAGAAAATGAGGCCCAATTAAATCATCCCCAATAGCTCCGAGCCACACGTTAAGAGAAAACTGTTCTTGAGGGTTAGTTTCGACAATAACGTGAGGGTTTTCATCAGCCCATATGTGGTAATTATGAAAATTAATAATCTTGTCCCGAGAAAAACTACATTCGTCTGTGAATTCTATCTTCTTCAGAAAGTCACAATTTCTTCTAATCATTTCCAGCATCCAATTGCAAAGACAAAAAGTTACATTGTAAATAAATTTCAGGGGTTGCGTTTTCCACCCCTTACAACCATGGGGTAAACCAAATAAATTTCTGGACAAGTGTCTTTTTGGTAGTACAAAACGTCAAGTTAATTTCAATATTGTAACTTTTTTAGTGCTTGTGAAAAAAATGGTTATACATATTTCATTGCTATATCTGAACAAGGAATGCTCCAATGAAATTTATTTATATGAAAGATCCTATCTTTTTTTCGATGAGGAATCACCTCCTTAAATGTTTTACACTTATTCAGTTACACCCTGTATTATTATGGTGTAGACTCTATCCTTATCAAATAAACTGATTTGCAGGTATAGAGAGCATGCTAGAGTGCGTTCTAAAATAATGAGAGATCAACCAATGAAACGATTGGACGAAGCCATCTTCTGGATTGAATACGTGATACGTCACCATGGAGCACCACACATGAGGTCTTCTGCTATTGATCTCAGCTGGTATCAACTATATCTGATAGACATTTTATTTTTACTAATTTTGTTATCTTCTTTGATAGTTTTGATTGTATATACGTTTATTAGACGAATGCGTATCAGGACAGGAGAAATTGTGAAGAATAAAACTAAAGTAGATTGATATCAAATTGAATTGGTACACGTCTATGTGAACAATAGATTGTGGTTGTCGGTAACAAATAATTTTTTTTATTCTGATTTGTTTGTAGAAGAATACAACAAACTCAATTCAAATGATAAGGCATCAGAAATGACTATATAAACCTCGGAAAAATTTCGAAATAAAAAAATTTTTGGGAAAGAAAAATTTTGGCTTTCTACTTCTCCATCTTGATACAAAAAATGTAGGAATCTTCCAAAGAAAGGAGAAAAGCAATCAGTCTCAAAAATTAAGAAAAAACCCTCTCGAAACAGCTACTCATTTTTGTATAGAGTTAAGTTTTGAAATTGATTCCTTCCTTAAAAATCCTTTTATCTGTTAATCAGCTGTCGCCCCCATACGAACAACAACTCTCAGAAGTTGAGAAAGTTGTGCGAGCTGAGGACTAACGAGGTCTTACATTTTAACGTGTGATTCCTAACACGCTTCCTTTCTTCCTTTGAAAGATTCTCACATTTTTGTATCAAGATGGAAAAAAGATAAATCCTTTCTTCAACAAAAATCAATCTCTTCTAAAAATATACCCTTTCAATTAAAAAAAAAGTTGTTCAGTATGAAACTGTTTCTGTATTTCAAATAACGTGGCTCTTTCAAATGTAGTGATTATTCGATTGAAACCAAAAATATTTGTACCGTTCAACATCTAGAAATCTTATCTGGCACTTCTCTGTTCCCAATGTGATGTACCTATTCCATGATAAGATCAACAGGATCGGTATTTCCCATATTCCAACAGTATAGATATCAAGGTATTTTTGTAAAACCACTTGTACCTGAGACATACTGAAAATGACCCAATGAATTAATCTATTAGACCTGCTATCAAACACTAATTGCCTCACACTTGTATAGTAATATAATGGACAGCAGCATGTCAAAAGTAATTTTAATTGAAATGTTCCCGAATCGATTTCTCCTTATCACTCGTACTGGTCACTCAGGAATTCGATAATTATGTCACATGTTTATTAAGAAAACATGGTTTAGTATTACATGATGATATAATGAAAGAAACTTCAACTCCAGACTACGTCATAAAAAGAAAACAATAAAGTTAGAAAACAACAACAAAAATGAGTTTATTTATATGTATTAGAGACGTATTTCTGAAAAAAACTACATGCATGAGCCCGATAACTTATGTATAAGGTGGTCTTTGACAGGTCACAAATGATAGTTATGATCCAGAGCAGGATGTTCCCCATCTTTCTCACTTCCTAAAAGTCTATGAAAGTGTTCCAGTGTTTTTCTTAAGGAGCTCCGGTAATCAGTTGTGAAAGAGGACGAAAAAAATATAAAATTTCTTGTACATTTTTAACTTTTTTTCGATTTCAATAAATTTTTAATCATAGAAAAATATTAAAAAAAAAAATACAAAAATTATGAAAGTATGAAACAATTAATTGGCGCTCCGGGGCGACTTCATTGATTCTAGTGGCGCATTCGTTTTTTAGCTGCAGGAAAACCCAGAAAAACCTGCAGCACCAAATCATCTGAAGATCTTGATCTACCAATGTCCTCTCTTTCATAGAATGAAATATAGGGTGTCTCCAGAGGCTCCAATAAATTCAAGATATTGCCGGAATATTTACTGGCACGACTATAGTCAAACTCAAACCAGTTCGTTTCATCTTTGACCAATGCGTGATAATGACCGGTTTCAACGCCAGAAACACAGTGAATAATGATTGCATGGAGAGTATAATAGTGGTCTGCTAGATTGAAGTTTCATCTATTTCGAACCTTCGTAAGAGTTTGGTGCTTCCGTCAGAGGTTGACTCATGTTTGAAGATCATCACTTATCAGATGATTGACTGGTGCCTCCGCTATACTTGTTGTTTCATAATAATCAGTTAGTTTGGCGCATATTTGGCAATATAGTTGATCATCACTCGTTGAAATTTCTATTTTCAGGTGATTCAACAATAAGCTTAGCATGTACTGATTATCAGTCATATTTGAACACGCTAGTTGAAGTTATAGAAAGACACATATGTTTTTGCTACCTCTTGAACATGTTCTACAAAGTGAACTGGTGGGGATTTTTCCAGCAAAAGATCTACAAACCCAAGACGAGATAGATCATTCAATCCAGAGCGGTCTGATATTTTCCTGCTCATGAAGGACAAGAACCCGAATAATTCGAAATAATCCTCTTGTTGTCCTAATGAGTATCTAGTGAACTTCAAAGACTCTAGGAAATCGGTTGGTGGAAAAGATGATACATTCTCACGAAACTGCCGCTGCATGAACAGATGTTTGAGATTGGTGAATGAGTAGGAAACATTCCCGTTCTCGATCATCGTTAAAACCTCGTTCTTGAAATTCTTCGTCATGAACAACACTTGTAAAATGCTATCCATGTAGCAAGTGTTTCCTAAATTATCTAATCCAAGTTTCTTCGCAAGATTTTGAGGATAAATGCCTACTGATTCGTGATGAAGAACATGTTCCACAGAATATGCATCAGAACCATTTCTCAAGCTGCAAACGATCCTTTCAAGTGATGAAGGGTTTCGTAGAGGGATCGATTCGGCTTTTGCTCCATGAAGCATTTCCACTGATAGGGAACCAAAACTACGAAGACTACAGCTCATATTTGGGGGCAAGAATGACCTATGACGAAACATTGTCAACCATCTCCAAACAGACCTTTGTCCATTGACCGCACTGAAAAAGAAGAAGGTGGACCAATTATTTGCGAGTTAACCTTGATAGGAGACTAATGAATATACATATGTCTCGACTTGTTTTGAAGAGATTTTAGTTACGTACTGAAATAAGGGCAGTGCATTATCTCATCAAAAGTATGTGAAAGAGGAATAGTTCCAAGAACCGAAGCAGCATTACCACGTTGAATAGCAATACTAATTCTTTTTATCAAAAAAGAGGTATAACGATAATCTTTTGTTGCTTGGTCTAATGTCCTTCCGAGTTCATGAACGAATAACAGAGACTCATGAAAAAAAAACTTTAGGTTGGAGCTACAAAACCTTTGATTTTTGTTCATTTACAAAAAATATCATAAATTCGAACTATTGATGAAGACTCATATAGACTCATTCAAAAAACACAACTCACTCGTAATATTTGTTATTTTTTGTGTTTGTGAGATATAGTCTACAACCAATGTCGTATGGAAATGTCTACCGCAATTGCAGATGAAACGTGAGATAAAAAATATATAGACCACAGCTAATAAACCTGAAAACATAAAATAAAATATCAGACACCAGCTGTGAAAGCCTACACCTCATATTTTTTGGTATATTTCCAATACTGAATATTTCTGATATACCTGAGTAGGTATGTCCCTCAAATTAAGTTTCACTATTAACGGAAATACATGAATTTTGAATTTATTTTCAATTTGAATAAAGGATGAGTTCGTTCAGCTAAGTAATGCCAACAATTGCCTTGTTTTGCATAAAAAGGTGCTTCTGTTTTTCCCAGAAGATGAATCACTATTGTTTAATGAACCGATCTTGATTACTTGATTTCCAATCACCTTCAGCAGACAAAACCATTCGGGACCTGAGCAGCATGCGTAGCCATTGTCTGAATACGTGATGAAGATTATTTATAATACGAATAGTTTGAATCATGCATATTATTTAATGTCCAGTTAAAAAGATTTGCACTTCGAATACTGATTCGGTAATCAGTTTTTGGAGCTATTTTCATTTCATGTCGAGTGTTGGACCGGATGTTAATGAATATAAAGGAAATTTTTGTGGAACAGTTGATAACATCTCGACTGGAGGATTAATGCAAAAAAAAAGAAATGTGTTTCTGTTCAAAACACTTCTACACCAGAACAAAAATATTGTCTCTTGATGCGCGTTTTATTAACAAAGTTAGCATCATCAGAAGAAGTCAAAGACTGACTTTTAAGGTTATGGTAATGTTTATATTTATGAACTTCAACGCATAATTATTGTTGGAGTTTATTTAGTTTAAAATTGTTACATTCTGTATAATGATATTTGTTGTTGTTAATTTGTGATAATATGTATGAGTTAGCTGTGACATTGTGGAAAAAATAAATAAGAAATTGACATACAAAAAGTTTGGATTTTAATTTGGTTCGTCGAGACTGAATATTTCCAATAATACCTAATTCACAGGTAAACTCAAAACAATTATCTTGTCGAATTAAGGTCATTGAATGTTTTTTTTTTGGAAAGTCGAATATTAAGGAAGAGACTATTCAAAGTTTCATTTCCTAGTTAACTTATCCACTTTGTTTCAAGGATGCTTATTACTTTCAAATTTTTCCTTGATAACTTTTTCTCGATATCATTTTTTTCTCTCAAAGAGAACGATACCAGTCTATAGAAAAACAAATTTAGTCCCACCATTTCTGGGGAAAATGGTAATCCAGAATTCAATTCAAAATTGTATTTGGTACTTATTTTTTACAAAAAATATGTTGTAAAAAGTAATTAAAAAATCTTTCGGAAAAGGTGGAATTATGATAACAATCAACTTTCAACATTTTTGGTCATAAGTTGTGTGACTTTTTGTGTCTGAAAATGTTATTATTTTCAATTTCCAAAGTAACTTTCAATTTAGGATGAAAACTGTGAAACATCCCGAGAATTCCAGATTGTTTGTTGTCAGGAATAGCAGTAAAAATGTCAACATATATTAAAAAAAAGAATAAAAAATGTTTATTGTTAAATACACTTTATTTATTGTTCGGAAATAACCAAATGTGCGCAAATCGGTGACATGCAATTGCCCATTGCTAACCATATTATTTTTTTTAATAAATACTCCATTGAAATCGAAATAGTTGGAGTCAAAGCAAAATTCAAGTATATTGATAATGATGTCCAAAGGTATTGTTGTGTAATCCGAAATGATCCCCACCTTTCTCTTATCATCTCAGTTATCGAATCTACCAGAATATTTTTATGAATATAGTATATCAACCGAATAAGTCTCATTGGGTCTGAGAATCGTCGAAGTTACCTAATGTAATTACCTATTCTATTCCAACTTTTTTGATATCATA